CACACACACACACACACACACACACACACACACACACACACACACACACACCATCCCTCTTCCCTCCCAGCTCAGCCAAGCTCATCAGGGGCTCAGAGTGTGAAATGATGAATCTGTATTTATGGGGATGGAGTAATTACACAGCTAACCTCTGAGGGGGCCCAGGAGGGCCACGGGGCCTCTGAGCGGTGCGCAGGGTGCTCAACCTCATTAGCACCGCAAGTGTGACAAGTGTGTGTCACTAGGTGTGTGTGCTGAAAGGATCAAAATGAGGAGAGTGGTTTTGTTAGCTGAGGAAACGATCAGTTTTTCATCTTCAGTTTAATCGAAATAAACGTCTTAAAAATGAACTTTTACTCTTCAGTAACTGCAGCTACTACAGTACCCACCCCCCTGTTTTTTTCTACATCTGTCATCTCCCACTCAACGGCCCCTGAAAGCTCCAAATCTCTGCTATCTCTTATCCTCTTCCATCTCCAGCGCTACTTCCAGTTTTCTTTATCTTCACCACGAAAAAAAAAAATCTGCTCCACCGACTTCCGTCGATAATCACCGAGGTTCCTCAGGGGGCCTGACCGAGCATATCAATGCCTGGGGGCCCATCGAAGTGGCAAGAATGTCCCAACACACCCCGCGAGCCAGCTGAAATGGGCTAATGTGGAAAATAAATAAATAAACAAATAAACATAAAGACCTTTTTCACTTTTGTTCACTCCTGCATTGGAAATCAACAAGAAACTGTAATGAAAGTTCTAGAGGTCACGACTATTTAGATATTCCTAAAATGGTAGAATCAAAAAAATTGTAATATATACATGTACCTCAGTATTCTCTACAAAAATGTCTCTATTTTTATTTCCACTAACTTTCCACAGAAGCAACACGATGGCAGCGTGACAAGAAGAAGGGGAAAACTCAAAGTAAAACTTCGGCTTATGTTTGGAGCCGACATGCTGAACAAGGCTGTGGTTGTCTGGAAAATGAAGTTGCACCCAACATTTTCTGCCCAGGACAGTGTTTTTTTTTTTCAATTATGAGAAGCCGTATAAATTTCTGTTAAATGTATTCTTCACCATATCAAAGTGTCACCTTTTAAATCAAGTCAAGAATATGTGACAAACACCCCCACAGGTAGGATTACACTGTAATAATGTCAGATTATTATTTAAAATTTCTGGTTTAATTGTTTGTTGGATATTGTTTTCAACTCAAAACAACTCGTACTTCAAAAACATTTTTGCTATATTACACAGAAACAATTTTATAAACATTTATGCTATTGCTAAACCCACTGAAGTAACAGCTAACTGTTAAATAAAACACTGACAACATACATTTTTATTTGGAATGTGCCAAAAATTTGATTCATAAAAGAACTGCTATTTTCATTTACAATATTTTAGAATTGATATTAAATATCCCAAAATCAGTCATAAAACTTTATAAATAATAAAACAAATCCGTTTATTGTCAGCCGGGATGTCCTGATGTCACCACGAGGTCCATTCTGGAACTTATGCAAGCAGAAATCATCAAAACTAACAGGAAACTACAAAACGGAGAAAAGATTCAACTGGCTTCATTCATACTATGATCATGAGGATCATTTTGTTTCAAACTGAAAATTGATTTTGAATCAAAACTGAATTGTAACGAACTGAATTGAATTTGATTGAACCAAATCAATTTGTGAGACAGTAAAATATTCTCACCCTTTACTGTCATGTTACAGCACATGTAACAAGATATGAATATTTATAAAATATTATTGACACAGACTGCTGTGAAGCAGTTTGATGCAAACCAGTCAGTAAGGTCATATACACACCTGATAGTTCAGTAGAATCAGTTGGATTGGGCACCAAAGTTACAACATTTGTTTACATTTTCAACTGTTGTGGTTCACTTTCACGCCGCACTTTGTCAACTGAACTAAACCCTGTGAATAACCTCTTCCCTCCCTCGCCTGTGGTGGCGCTGCACCAAGAACCACTGAAGGAAACAACCTAAAAATCTCCGAACAAGACACTCAAAGCAAACTCCTTTTTCACTAAATGTAAACAAACATTTTAGCGGCTGCAGGATTTCTCTTTTGCTTTTGGCAAATGTGCCAAAATAATTTCAACAATGAGCTCAGCACGAGCCGAAGTAGAGGCAGAAGACCATGGAGAATGTTGTTTTTCAACGAGAAGGGGTTATCTGCGGAATCAAAGTGGGCTTGTCACAAGAGTGGGTGTGTCAAAACCATAAACACTGTGGGCTACGAGGCCTACATGATGGTATCCTTAGATCCTGCTTGATCTCTTTACAGCCTGACCCTGACCCCAACACTAAGGTTAACCAGGAGAAATGTGACCCAAGTAGGGTTCTCCAGAAAAAGTGGTGCCGTACAGTAACGCCCCTTTTTTGCTTGTCCAGTCAGGTGTGTCCCTTTAACAAAGTCCGTCAAATCAGGTGTGTCGCTTTAGAATCGCCTTTCCTTGTGACACGCCCACTCGTCTGCACTCGTCCACGGAGACCCCTTACTTGTTTTCATCACCAGGTGGCTGAGACGACTTTGTTAGAGGCGGCGTTCAACTTCACAGCAATGATGTCCACTTTATACAGATGTCCAGCAAAGTATTTAAGTAACTTTTTTACCTGCTATAATGACCTGCGCTGTAGTCCACTTCCTGCTTTTGGAGCGGTCTCTGGTCCACTTGGCGTTTACACAAGTTAACCGAACCAAGACCAAGGTTTGCAGACGGACCAGAGTTCACTGTTTTGGTCTGCATCAGAGTTAAATTATGCATTCACACCTCTCCAAACAAACCGGACTTTTCAGGCAAATGAACTAGAGTTCGATTAAAGCGGACCAAACAGGGCTGGTATGAATATGCCCTAATGCTCGAAGGGCCATCCACACCAGAATGGGTTTTGTTAAGATGCAAAACCTTTTATGAGTTGTTTTAGCCTCGTATCCATGCAGACATGACATTTTATGAGCTGTATTTAAAAAAGAAAAGTCTCACAAAAACAAAACAATACTTGTGTTTTTGTCATTGCATCATCTCTAACCCATCCAAGGGGGTCCTCTTCTATTTTCCAATTTTCACTCTTGGTGTATTTTTGTTAAAGCACCACATACAGGCCTGGAATAGTCATTACAGCGTTTTGGATCGTTTTTAGTGTTTCTGTGTAGCTGAAGACATTTCTTAAATTATGTTGTCTTTACGAGGATTTTGTGAATATGGTTTCTTGTCATGGCTACAGCAGAAAAGTTTATTTTCTTGCTTCTGCTTTCTATGAAAAAGCCTCTCAACAAGAGTGTAATAAAAATAATAAAATAAATAGAGCTAATGATATATTTTTTGTCAAAACACATTAAATATATAGCCTCATGCAGTAATAAAAAATGTGGTAGTACTTTATAATGGAGATGACTGTCAGATATACCACATGCAATTGACATCAAAATCTCCAAAGTAATGGTACTTACAGCTGTGACGGCCATCTTGAATGGTTGGCACCAAAAGCTAATCAGTTAGATGTTCAATGATCGATTTAAAGCCTCACTGGTAATTAGATAGTTTGCCAACAGACAGCCTTGAATATTTAAGGTCAAAGTTGGAAATAACTTGAATAAGAACATGAATGAGTTGGAGTCATTTCTGGGAGTCGTTTTTGGGTTTGCTGAGGTGACTTATTTGTGGCGACCATCTTGAACAGGATTGTCTGTAAAAGTTCTGAGAGTTTCATAAAAATCCGTCCACTTGTTTCTGACATATTTTACTAACAAACACAGACACGTGCAAAAACGTTATTAGTCTACTCCATCACTGCCATTGGCAGGTGATAATAATAACAGCAGGTAGAGACGATGGACTTAATAAGGAACACTAAAGACACACAAGTTGCACGCGCACACACGCGCGCACACATACACTAGAAATTAAATCACACAGTTCAACACACACTCCTCAACACACACACACACGACCCGGGCTAAACCAATGCACTAATCGCGTGCCCCGGGCATAGGAGGAGCTTGCTGCTTAAGTAGGCTGCCAATCAGTCAGTCAGCTCCACATCCAGGAGCTCCCGCGGCCAGACGCACGCATCAGTCCGCGCGCGAGGTGCCAAACTGCGGCTCAGAGACAGCCCTGTGAGCGGAGAGGCTGACACTTTCCAACAACAAAAAAAGGAGGGGTATCTTCTACTTAAGACAGACCCCTTCTTTTCCTTTGCTCTCATCTTCTTCTTTCTGAGGACTTCTCTATTTCTTTTTTTATTTTTTATTATAATCTTCATTGCTGTTATAGTTTTACCACTTTAGAGGAGGATTTTATTATTTTTATTTTTCCGCGCGCGTTTCTCCCCCCCGGACATGTCTTTCCCTCAGCTGGGGTTCCCCCAGTTTCTCAGTGCCTCCCATCATGAGGTGTACGGGAGCGAGCGGCCGGCCTCTGCCCGGGAGGGAGGCACCGAGGGCGGCGTGAGCTCCTCAGCCGCAGCGGCTGTCGGCTCTATGCTGGGGGTGTACGGAAGCCCGTGGGGCCCGAACTACAGTGCCTTTCTGCCGTACAGCGGTGCCTCAGACCTCGCGCTCATTTCCCAGATGGTAAGAGACTTTATCCTGGACTCATCATCAAAGCTGCCTCAATTAATACATTTCTAAAAAATGTGAAAAAAAAGTTTTCTTATTTTTTTTCTTCACCAATAAAGCTCATTATTTAATTGGTGGATTAATTGTTGATTATCGGAAATATTTTCATAATTGATGGTGGAATTATTATTTAAAAGCCTGAAATTACTTTTTTCTGTTAATTTTAACTATTTAGCTAATTTAATTTACTTAGCAAATTGGGCATGTTTAGGAATTTTTCAAACAAAAATAGAAATGTACTGATAAATATATATGTCTTCCTTTTAAATAGAGCATGAGTAAAACATGGTTTGAAAACTATGTTAATGTTATTAAATGGCAAATGTAGCAGAGTTTAGTAATTATAATTTGAAATAACACATTTTGCATTTCTAAACAAAAGTCCTTTATATNTATATATATATATATATATATATATAAAATTGTGATCAGTTAAAAATTATATTTCAATCAACAATAGGTTGCTCAACAAGTTGCCATCTCTCCACCCCTCCCCTCCCATGATAACGTTCCAGGGCTCCCAGTACGAGCTGAAGGAAAACCCGGGGTCTCACCCAGCACCCCTGCCTGTCCACGCCGCTCAAGGTTTCTACCCGTACGGCCAGTACCCGTACGGAGACCCGTCAAGGGCCAAGACGGCCACCAGGGAGACCACCAGCACCCTGAAGGCCTGGCTGCAGGAGCACCAGAAGAACCCGTACCCCACCAAAGGAGAGAAGATCATGCTGGCCATCATCACGAGGATGACTCTCACACAGGTGGGATCATCAGAGACATAAAATAAGTCTGAAAAAAGAGCAGAGAACTTAAAAATCGGCGCATTTTATATCTGAACAGGTGATGTTTTCCTTGTAGAAATAAGACTTTTTTTGGAGGTAAAATAGTCACTCTAAAGGTCGCGGGTTCGATCCCAGTTCCAGTTTTTTTGCAAACTTTATCTCAATCCGACATTCCTGATTAAACAACAATAACAGCAAACATATGTTGTCAGTGTGTAAAAATATTTTATTTTTATGTGTGCAATATTTATATTAACAGTTTTAAAATGCGTGATCACGAGAGAAAAAAAGTTTCATGTCCTTATTTTAATTATATCGTTGCATTTTACAAATAAACGTCATAATTTCATTAGTATGCGTAAAAAACACGTGTTATAAATAAAATTTTAATTTTGCAGGTATCGACGTGGTTCGCGAACGCCCGCAGACGCCTCAAGAAGGAGAACAAGGTGACCTGGGGCCGCAGCGCCGAGGACCGGGACGGACGCATCTTCAGCAGCGACAACGAGGACGAGCCGGGCAAGAACGGGAGCGACGAGGAGGAAGAAGACGAGGAGATCGATTTGGAGACGGTGGACATCGAGAGGCCCGAGGAGCGGGGCGCCGGGAAGGGAGAGGGGGCTGCGGGCCTGTCTCTCAGGGAGCAGGCCTCGGAGAGCAACAGGACGCTTTCAGCGGAGGGCTTGCGGGGAGGGGAGGCCGCTGTCAAACTCGCCGTGGACCGTTCCCCGGGCAGACAGGAGTGTCAGCGAGCCCCGCAGAGCAAACCCAAAATCTGGTCCCTGGCCGAGACCGCCACGGCTCCCGACAGCTCGAAAAAACCCTCCGCGGCGGGCTACGCTCACCACGCGGCGTTGGCGCCCGCCAGCCACCCGGCTTTGCTCCCGGGTCACGGAATATACACGTGCCAGATTGGCAAGCTGCACAACTGGGCCAACGCGGCCCTGCTGAATGCCAACTCGCTTTTGAACATGAGGTCGCTCCTCGGCGGCGCACCGGCCGGACACCTGCCTCTCCAAGGCGCGGTGCCGGCTGCGCGTCAGGACGCACGGCACGCGGCGGCGGCGGCTGCTGGCGCGGAGACGTCAGGGACGGAGGATGTCAGCGATGTTGAGTCAATGGGAAGCTTGAGTCCAAAAAGAGATGGTAAGAACTGAGTTTTATATTCAGTCCAAATTTTGTTTTCATCTCACTGGTGTCGTGGAGATGTGTTCCCCCACCAAAATAAGCTGCAGATTTCTGTCAAGGGTGAATCCTCTTTTTAAAATATACAGTTTGGCCTTGAGGAATAAAAAATCCTCATAAAATCAAATGTGGTTTTATTTGCTTTCTGATCGCAGAGGGAACAATTTGTAAGGATGAGACATCAGGATGTTTCCAGAAAAAAGTAGGATATTTTCTTTTTACACTTTTTCTTAAATGTGGAGGAAAATGGTGCAAATCTGGAAATCTGGAGGGGAAACAGATCACAACACACCAGCCTTAAAGTAACACATCCAAAAAAACAGGAAGACAAATTCATCCATTCAAACTTTATTTATTTTATTATTTTTATATTTATTTTTTTCCAGATGAGGAAAGGGACCACAGGCCTGAGTCCCTGAAGTCCCCATTCCAACTGATCAGTGACAGGTAAACTCCCAGTTTCTGACATCCTCTATTTCCCATCTCCTGCTAAACATAGCTTAAATCAGAGGCAAACACTGAGCAGGAGGGACACCTCAGCACATAAATCATGTGATTTAGCCCCCACCTACTTTAATGCCTCATCAGGCAGCGATCCAGGACC